TTCTCTATATGCCTCCATCCAGTGCTTTTCATTATTAATGCTGGTGTACTTTTATGAACAATTTCCAGAAGTAGTTTATTATTATTCACTAGCCGTCCCCTACCACGCATTGCTCTGGCCCAGTCTGTGTATATATGCATTTTGTGTGTGTATATATTTGTGTATATATGTGTGTTTGCGTATATATATGTGGCTTTGTGCATGTGTTGTAATGTTTTGTTTTTATTTTTTGGCTTTTTAAGTCTCTTCTGCTGTGTCTTTCAGTGTTTTTATGAGTGATGGTAACTCGTTGGCCTGATAGGTGTATTGTGTCCAAATTTGGTGTCAATTCATCCAGTGGTTTTTGAGTTATGTTAATCTCATAAACGAACATTACATTTTTATTTATATAGATTTCATTTCACCCCACGCTTCTTTGATGGAGTTCAAGGTCCATCTTATGACTTCATATTTTGCCTGACAATAGCCCTGTGAGATAACTGGTACGCATCTCCACGTCTAAAATCTGCCGATTTCCAACCATTGTGTCACATTAGTGTATAGCTCATTAATTTTATCTATAGCTATCCTGAGTCACTAGGAGCTCTTCTAATGTTGTTGCACTACAGTTGCTATTGTCCTTTATCGTTGATAGTTCTATGGCTATGCAAGGAGCCCTTTTAATGTTATCCATACTGCACTTGCCATCACCCTTCACTATTGCTTCTTCTAGCCATATCAGTTGGAATTTGTGGTGCTATAAAATCCAAAAGTACTTAAGTTGCCCACCTCTGCATTACAGAATTAGTGAGTAATTTTAAATGTGACCACTCTAAAAATGGGCTAAATTGTAGACAAACCCTTTGTTCATAACCATAACGCAAAACAAGCTCTGCAGAAGCTTTTTTTAATTAGTTGGCTAGAACGTTTCTGGCAGCCGAAATTGTTTTTAACCTTTACAGTGTGAAGGAGATAACCAAACTGCTGAGTTATTGAAAAGGCTGGGCACCAAGAATGCCTTTTCATCAGGTCCTTAAATATTTGTGTCCAACCTGGTTCGGTTCCAAGTTAGAAACCATTAAAGATAACTTGAGCCTCTCATCAAAGCCTTCAAGATGCAGGAACTTTCCAATAATTCTAAGCTTTGCTGCCTGGCTCATAACCCAGAGCTGACACTGCTGATTATTGCTGACGAAACCTGCCACCTTCCCTGAGAGCTAATGAGGCAGACACCGCAAGACTTTCAAGTATGTCCTGCATTTCCTGTCTGCAGTGGCTCTTCTGACTTTAGGAGACAGGTAAGAAAGAAAGGTTGTTGCAGCTGAAGACAGAGGTAGGCAGACCAGAGCTCACAGAATCATAGATTTGCTCAGCCGAAAGGCTGATGGGGTTACACTCCCCCTGAAGACGCAGGTTCACAGCTTTCAATGATCCTGGATTCATTGCTGAGTCTGGAACCCCAGGTCTCAATGGTGGCCAGGAGAGCTTTTGCACTATTAAAACTTGTGCACCAGCTGCGCCCATAACTTGGGAAGTCTGATCTGGCCACGGTGGTCCATGCTCTTGTTACATCCGGAATAGATTACTGCAGTGTGCTCTACTTGGGGTTGCCTTTGAAGACTGTTTGGAAACTTCAACTAGTCCAATGGGTGGCAGCTAGATTGGAGCATCATACAGGGAGCATACCACCCTCCTGTTGTGTCAGCTCCACTGGCTTCCAGTCCAGTTCTGAGTACAATTCAAAGTGCTGGTCTTGACCTATAAAGCCCTATACGGTTCTGGCCTAGCCTACTTGACCGAACGTAACTCCTTCTATGTCCTGCCTTGGAGCTTAAAATCTTCTGGGGAGGCCCTGCTCTTGATCCCACCTCTGTCACAAACGCGCTTGGCGGGGACGAGATATAGGGCCTTCTTGGCGGTGGCCCCCTGCCTGTGGAACTCGCTTCCCAGCAAAATTAGGTCAACTGTATTCCTCCTTTCCTTCAGGAAGAAGTTGAAAACATGGTTGTGGGACCAGGCATTTGGGTAGCAGACTGACAATGATGACAATTTTATGGAGAACAGACTATGGACAGGTCTTGGACTGAGTTGTTGGTTGCAGAATTATGGATTTATATATGGCTAACAGTTAACACTATTTTAAATGGATTTAAATTTAATTTGAAACGAATGTTGTTACTTATTATTTAATTGTTGTGTTTTACTATGTTTTGTATGTGGGGGCACCAAATTTCTGCCGGCTGTAAGCACCTTGAGCCCCCTTCCGGGGGTTGGGAAAGGCAGGTTACAAATGTTTGAAATAAATAAATAAATAAATTGGAGGAGATCACAAAGGCCATCCAGTCCAACTCCTTAGTACACAGGAATTCACAATGTGAGCTCTCCTGACAAATGATCATGTAGCCTCCAAAGAAGGAGACTCCATAGCACCTTGAGGTTACATATTCCACTGTTGCATCTCTTTTACTGTCCGAAAGGTCTTCCTAATGTTTAGGTGGAATCTCCGTTCTTTTGCCTCATATTCTAGTCTCTGGAGTCTCAGGGCTCAATTAGGACTTAACCTCAAATCTTGTTTACAGTGCTCACATTTAGTCTTTCCTCACATATTGGCAAGGTGTTGGTGATGTCTTTCAAAGCCCTAAAACTTTTGAAATCTTGATACAATACTTGAAAAAATATCTCTCCGTATACAAATGCCAGCTCAAAGAGTGAAGTCTGTAGAAGGAACTCCCTTCTGTGTTCCACAAGTGGGAGCAATCCAATATGGGAGCACATGGAAAAGGGTATTCTCATCTACTGCAACCTAGTTATGTTATGTTGGCCCCTTAAAGTTCCAATTGGTGCCAATGTTGGTCTCTTTCTGGTGCCAAGGCATACCTTTTTATTAGAACTCTTTGGGGCTTAATTTACTTGAAATGGGCTTGTAAATAGCTTTTAATTGTTGCACATTTTTACAGAATGTTGACTTCTCATGTTGAATATTTTTTTAATCTTCATCTTGTTTTCCCCTGGTTTTCAGGGCTATTTCTGAGTATAGAGTCATGACTTCAAAAAGCAAGGCATAACATGTTTTGTACTGAGAAACATGTGAACCAGTAACAATTTTGATTATTCTCTTATTCTCTCTGTTAGGAATTGTGGGAGTTGAAGTCCAAAGCACCTGGAGGGCCCAAGTTTGCCCATGCCTGATATAGGCCATATTCATACAATACAATAAAGCAAAGTCGTTTGGGAACAATACTTGATCCCATGGCCTAATCGTGCCTACTTACAACAAGAGAGTTAAAATAATTTGCAAATCTTCAGAACTAGAATGGACCATGAGTTGACTGAGAGGGGATATGATAGCCATGTATAAATATGTGAGAGGAAGCCACAGGGAGGAGGGAGCAAGCTTGCTTTCTGCTTCCTTGGAGACTAGGACAGGAAAAATGGCTTCAAACTACAAGAGAGGAGATTCCATCTGAACATTAGGAAGAACTTCCTGACTGTGAGAGCCATTCAGCAGTGGAACTCTCTGCCCCGGAGTGTGGTGGAGGCTCCTTCTTTGGAAGCTTTTAAACAGAGGCTGGATGGCCATCTGTCAGGGTTGATTTGAATGCAATATCCTGCTTCTTGGCAGGGGGTTGGACTGGATGGCCCATGAGGTCTCTTCCAACTCTTTGATTCTATGATTCTATGACTTGTGGATTGTAACTCAGAACTTGTAAACTACTGTTTTGGATCTCAACTTCCAGAATGCCTCAGCAATGCACATGCAAAATTTGGGGAGTTATATTTAAGCAACAACATTGTTGCAACACCAGGGGGTTCCTGTGACAAAGTGCTGGGTCTTAAGTGCAAAACAATAGTACATGTTGTGAATTTTTAAAACAGATGACCTTTTGGTCAGAACTGTTCAAGTTGAGGACTATTTGAATATGATTTTCCTTCTTCTTGGCAGGGGGTTGGACTGGATGGCCCATGAGGTCTCTTCCAATTCTATGGTTCTATGATTCTTTGAGGACAGGAGAACTTACAAATATTCTTAACACTTTACCCAGTGGTCATTTTAAATTCTATGGCGATCATGGTTGTACATGGAGCCTCCGGTGGCGCAGTGGGTTAAAGCACTGTGCTGACAGGACTGAAGACCGACAGGTTGCAGGTTCGAATCCGGGGAGAGGCAGATGAGCTCCCTCTATCAGCTCCAGCTCCTCATGTGGGGACATGAGAGAAGCCTCCCACAAGGATGATAAAACATCAAAAATCATCCAGGCGTCCCCTGGGCAACGTCCTTGCAGACGGCCAATTCTCTCACAACAGGAGCGGTTGCTCCTGACACGACAAAAAAAAAAATGGTTGTACACTAGCTGGGATTCATGTCTGAATAGAGGACAAATGGTCAACAGCCTCTGGATTAATTTCTTCCTCCTCTTTTTCATTGCTGCCACCTGCTTGGTAGCTCCCGTGCCCTTTTGTTCTAGCTCAAATGGGTCCAGTAAGAGAAAAGAAATGTGAAGGAGCTGCCACGAATTTGCTGCCTAGTTTTCAATGTGGCAACTGAACAGGTGATTCCAACAGTGACCCATAGTAGCAATCAGTGGCAACAATAGAGAAGAGTTACCCCACCGAAGGGTTTTTTTTTTTTTTGGCCAAACATCTTCTATCCTTCTCAGCTAAAACCAAGAACCTTGAAGCATACACAGTGCATCTGCTTATTTCATATGGACTACTGATGGTCAGGCTTTCCAGGAAAGTTGGAGTCACAGCACTTTTTGATAAAATTGAAATATCAAATGCTCATTTCCACTTTGCAACCTAGAGCTTGGAAATGCTACATTTAAGACTATAGTTCGCAAACACCTTCAGCTAGCATGGTTCTGGGACCTTTATTCCATAAAAAAGTAACTTTCCTAATCTCTGATTCTTTACTTCCTACAGAGAAGTCAATACCCCATTGTGAGTTTCAAGGAGAAAGAGTCTATTTGTCTAGTGTCTTTCCAGTAATGTTTCTCTTTCTCATTGATTTGTGTCTACAGCTGGAGGAAGCAGAGCATTTTGCCAAGATGGTGACTGACCTCGGAGAAGAAGCCGGGGAGTTCCTAGCCAAGGGCTATTTGGCCTTGGGCCTGACATACAGCCTTCAAGCCACTGATGGTAATAACTTCTTTTTAATTGACCCTATATAGCTGATATCATAAAGTCCTTGGATAGCAACATTTTCCAAACAATATAAGGCCTAGAGTTTGACAATGATACTATTTTGAAATAAAACTCTCAGCCAGTATGGTGAGCATCCATAGTTGCTGAAAGTTTCCAAAAAAGTACCTTTGCCAAGCTGTGCTAAGAGCCAATTGGCATACTGTTTATCATTTCACAGATGAATATTGGGATACATATGGTGCAATGTAGTCAAGATGACAAAATGTAAGAACATACAAGCAAAGAGGGACAGCAGTGGTAGTTTGCTTTTGCCTGAGTTATTTGCCTCCTAACTGAGTTAACTGAGTGCAAACTACTTTTGCACTTTGAAATAATTCCCCAGCAGTGATTCTATGTCATTTTTTGGACTTTAGCTCCCAGAATCTGACCATCAGCCAAAGTGTCTGAGACTTCCGGGGCTTGAAGTCCAAAAACACTAGAGTTTGGAAATCGTTGGTCTATAGAAATGAAAATAAGCTGACGCCAAAAGGAAAAACTGAGACCATTTGAATTTGGGACGTTGCATAGTGTGACCCAAAGTTCTGCTGTCAACATCAGTTCCATCAGGATTTATTCATTTTTTGTGTATGGCAATCGCTGTATTTCACAGTAGCCTCTCAGAGTTTTTAAAAAGTAAACAACAACAACAGCAATATTCTGCCCTATCTCCCCGAGGGTACTCAGAGTGGATTCCAGCATATATATAGACATAGGCAAACATTCAATGCCTTTGAAACACATTGGAACACAAATAAACAAAGGCAAAGCCTTCCCCTTTCATGTCCAGCCCTGGAGCTGGTGCTTATCTCTTGCTCTGGGGTAGATGTTCACCTCCATTTCCAAGCTGAAAAGCCTGCATCATCCATAGACACCGCCTGTTCACATAGTCAGCATGACTTCATGGGGTGCTGTTTTACCTTCCGGGCAAAGTGTTAGCTATTGATCTACTCACATTTACATGTTTTTGAACTGCTAGATTGGCAGGAGCTGGGGCTGGCAGTGGAAGCTCACCCTGTCTCACAGATTCGAACTGCCAACTTTCAGGTCAGCAAGTTTAGCAGCTCAGTGGTTTAATCTGTTACACCACTTTGGCTCTGTTGTGCCTTCACAGTATCAGAAACACAAACATATGGACCAGAGTGATCAAGTTGGCATTGTCTCCCTGTAGCTGCAAAAGACTTTAGATACAGTTTCACACCAAAGATGATGGAGCAAGCTTTGTAGGGTTGAGAGAAGAAGTCATCTTAAGGATAAAAAGGTGTTTAAAGAGAGGAAATGGAGAAAAGGCATAAACGATCAGTTTTCACAATGGAGGGATGAGCAGTGGGATTAGACCTGTGCTTTTTAACTTGTTCATAAATGACTTGCGGTTAGGCTTGACTAGTGAGGTGGTAATTATACATAATCTCCCTCAATTATTTCTTACTGACTTGCAGAGATTTGATTTGAAATATAAGAATAATATCCCACCTTTCCTAGGTAGCTAACAACAAAATGAAAATATTAATATGGGATACAGAGAAAAGATTAAAAGTCAATATGGGGGAAAAAAAGGTACAGAAAAAAACCCCATAAGAAATTATAATGTGACTAGGCATTATAATATCAAATCAAAGTTTTATTGAAAATAATCTTGAAATAAACCATTTGGGAAGTATAGCATCAACACATTAAAAATGAGGGTTTGAATAAAATGGCTTTTGCCTGCTAGTATAAACAAAATATTAAAATACTGCAATAATAAATCAAAACATTAACAATTTGCTGCCCTTTCGTGGAATTCAGAATTTATTTTGCCTAATTGTAGGGCTGGCTTTGACTGGATATCAAAGCTGGAATGGGTTTTCATTGTTTACAAAATGTTATTTTTCCCTCAGTTTAAATGTAAAATGATTTTTTTAATATAAAATATTTTTGGTGCTGGTTATTGACCTTAATTATATATCTATATTTATATGTATAGCTATATCTATAACTATATCTATCAGTGGTGCCCAACCTTGGGGACCACACCAGTGGTCCCCAAGAACAAAAATATGTTCCGCAGCCTCACCATTACTACATTGTTGCCTGGAAACCACGAGGCAACAAGAGCAATTGGTCTCGCGAAACCCTCATATACTGCCGAGGCAACCGGGATGTTGGGAGGGGAGAGGCTGATTACCTACAAAGATTACTACTACCACATCAGCTTGATTATTAAATACTAGCCATCCCCTGCCACGTGTTGCTGTGGCCCACAGGGGGGTTCTGTATGGGAGGTTTGACCCAATTCCGTCATTGGTGGGGTTCAGCATGCTCTCTGATTGTAGGTGAACTATAAATCCCAGCAACTACAACTCCCAAATGTCATAGTCGATTTTCCCCAAACTCCATCTGTGTTCATATTTGGGCATATGGAATATTCGTGCCAATTTCGGTCCAGATCCATCATTGTTTGAGTCCACAGTGCTCTCTGGATGTAGGTGAACTACAACTCCCAAACTCAAGGTCAATGCCCACCAAACCCTTCCAGTGTTTTCTGTTGGTCATGGGAGTTCTGTGTGCCAAGTCTGGTTGAATTCCATTGTTGATGCTCTTTGATTGTAGGTGAACTATAAATCCCAGCAACTACAACTCCCAAATGACAAAATCATATTTTTTTTGTGTGTGATGGTCACTCCTTGTGTTTTGAGATGCTTTGTTGCCAAATTTGGTGTGATTTCGTTCATTGGTTCTTTTGTTTTTAAGGTACTCATTATGCACAGAGCATTTTTATATATATAGATGGTTTTCTGTGGGCAAGCAAATGGTGACTACTGGATGGCATATGTTTTGTATCAGAAACTGGAGCTGATGCGGTCTATCCAATGCAATTTTCTGAATCAGCACCCCAAATAATCAAACTGAATCTAAAGTTGACCAAAACTGATTTATAACCTTTTTGGTACTAATGTTGGAGAGTGGTCCCTGGTCAAAGTGGTGCCTGGTCAAATGGTCCCTAGCCAAAAAAAGGTTGGAAACCACTGATCTATATAATATAACTGATCAGACCTTGTTGCCTGAAAGCTATACAGTTGGAAGAGATTAGCGAAGAATGCATGAAAATCCATGCTGACTTTTGGCGTATTTGACTCTGTTCCAGGTTTGTTTTGTTTTGTTTTGTTTTTGGTGGGTGGGTGGGGAAAGTAATTCATACCATTGGTTTAATCATTAGCTATTTTGTTTCTTAGAAGGTTTTAATGACATGGTTAGGATCTTTGTGCAGGGACCATTAGGGGCTGATATAGAATGTAATGTTAGCTGCTGAATTTGCTATTATAAGTTATGTAAGGGAATGCCCCAACATTAAAACGTCAGCTCTGTGATATAAAATAGGAAAATCTCTAATGAGGTGTAATGAGGCATGGGAAGTATAAGAAAACTTTCCATACCTGCCATTTATAGCAGGAGAAGGAGTGTAAGCTGAATTGTCAGACTGCCCTTCCCATCTTCTTTTTTCCTCAGTCAGGAGGGATAATGGTGACTCACTTTGGTTGTTTATTCGTTCAGTCGCTTCCGACTCTTTGTGATCTCATTGACCAGCCCACGCCAGAGCTCCCTGTCGGCCGTCACCACCCCCAGCTCCTTCAAAGTCAAGCCAGTCACTTCAAGGATACCATCCATCAATCTAGCCCTTGTTCGGCCCCTCTTCCTTTTTCCTTCCTTTTCCCCCAGCATCATTGTCTTTGGCTATCTTCTGACCTGGGAGTCCCATCTTCCAATGGCATACTGTAAATATACTGATCCATTTAGTTTTCACGGCAAGAATACTGGGGTGGGTTGCCATTACCTTCCCCAGGGATCTCTCTGCCATGACCTTCCTGTCTTCGTTGTCCTTTCATGCTTTTGCTCGTGGCATCATTGAGGTGCTCAAGCTCCAGCACCACAGCAAGGCAATGATCCTTTGCTGGAGGGTGACTCACTAGAAAAGACAATAATGAACTGTGAAGTGGAATATAATAGGAAAAGAAGGCGACTGCATTACATATGGACAGTATTCATCAAGTGAATCACAGCCCTGACTTTGCAAGATCTGGGCAGGGAGGTTGAGATGAAATATTCTTGGAGATCTCTCATTCAAGTAGATGCTGACTTGACAGCAACTAGCAACTCCTATCAAATAAATCTACATAAACTACATTACATGGTATTTGTGTTATAATTGGCTTAGAAAAGACAGGCAGGTGTTTGTTTAAGAAAGACACTAAGTGGATTGCTGTGAGTTTTCCAGGCTATATGGCCATGTTTCAGAAGCATTCTCTCCTGATGTTTCACCCACATCTATGGCAGGCATCCTCAGAGATTGTGAGGTCTGTTGGAAATTAGGCAAGTGAGGTTTATATATCTGTGGAATGTCCAGGATGGGATAAAGAACTCCTGTCTGTTCGAGGCAGGTGTGAATGTTGCAGTTGGTCACCTTGATTAGCATTGAATGGCCTTGCAGCTTCAAAGCTTGTCTGCTTCTTGTCTGGGGGAATCCTTTGTTGGGAGATGTTAGCTGGCCCTGATTGTGTCTTGCCTGGAATTCTCCTGTTTTCTGAGTGTTGTTCTTTGAAGCTGCAAGGCTATTCAATGTTAATCAAGTTGACCAATTGCAACATTCACACTTGCTTCCAACAGACAAGAGTTTGTTCTCCCAACCTGGATATTCCACAGATATATAAGACCCCATTTTCATAGTCTCCAACAGACCTCACAACCTCTTAGGATGCCTGCCATAGATGTGGACGAAACGTCAGGAGAGAATGCTTCTAGAACATGGCCATACAGCCTGGAAAACTCACAGCAACCCAGTGATTCCAACCATGGAAGCCTTCGACAACACAAAGACAATAAGGAACAAAAATCAGTGCTGGGAACTGATTGAATCTAAACCATGCATTTGAGGATTGCATCCCTTGTTTTTCTTGGGTACCAATAACACATACATTTTC